TTGTCATTATGGTAAGAATACAAGACAGAAATGTACTTAAAGAACAATAAGGCAAGGTACTGTAGTAATAATATTAGTATTATTATTATATTATTAATAACCAGTAAAGATTTCTGTGATAAAAAAATGGCCGCAGTACTACCCCACTAGTAATTCAAGCTCAATGATTAAATGGATCTTTTAAAAAAAAATACTATTTTAATTTTCATTTTCAGTTTATTATTTATTTCCGTGCTATAGGTCCAAGTTTTCTTCATTGGTACTGAGAGATTACCAGAGAGTGACAACAAGTGGCTTCGAATCCAGATGCTCTGACATGGAATTATCTGAAAGACCTTCTCTGTTTCACAAGAAGTGGAGGAATGACATGATGGAATTCAAGTATGATGTCCAAGGTAGCTAACAGAACAGTGTGTGCCATTCATATTTACTGTACTAGAATTAATGTAATGCAATAGTTATTTTACTTCATGGAATTAGTGTGTGAAAACAGCATTTTTATTTCCTATTAGTATAACTAGAGCACAGTCATGCCAGACTATCGGTTGGATCCATCTTAACATTTATTAGAAATTAAACTACATAAAGGGGATATGAATCTATTCAAGTTCTTTTCTTACATTTTCACATCGAGAGAAACAGGTTGGTTTGCCCATGTCTGTATCAAACTGACTGTAGCCTAAGGTGTCCTCCCACTAACTCAAAGCTAGATATGGTCATTATAAACATCAAGTAGCTCTGTGTGTGCGTCATATCTGATTGGTCTTAATCCTGTAAAACCAAACCAAATATAGTCAGCAAATGTGCATGAATAGCTTTGTAGATGGTATGACATTTTCTTTAATACTGTACCTGCTGTGTACAAAATAGGAGGACTTTATGTACCCTGTCATTATGTTTCCACTATGTTTAAGAACACACATTTTGTAAGTTCCACTTTAAAACTTTTGTGTGTGATAGTATAGGAAAGCACAGAATGTCGTAGATGTCCAGTTGTATATTCCTATTACAAATCACATAAAAGCTAAAAACACAGAAGAAAACAGAAGAATACATAGATCTGTGTTACATACAAATACATATATAAGTATAATACACTTTTTTGGAGAGGATGGTTAAAAATAGAAGTTTAAAAAAAATAAAACTGAACGCTTTGAACAGAAGTGGAAGAATGGCTGTTAGCATTTAATTTCACCAGCAGGTGGCACTCTATATCTTTTTACACTTTCCCAGAAAGTCTGCGCTGAGAACGTGAGCATTTGAAACGTTTGCCTTTTTACTTATCTTTAGTTTAGCACACCATTGATATAGTTAATTTATATTATTTATAAACACCATTTATATAGTTGCATCATAATTTGTTATGTCAAAGCTAATGATTATAATAGATAAATGCCGTTGCTTTAAACTAATATAAGAATTTTAAAAGTAGCACAAAGCTGGGCGGAGCGGTGGCTCTGTGGCTAAGGATCCGTGCCTGTGGCAGGAAGGTTGCCGGTTCGTATCCCATGGGGCCCCTGAGCAAGGCCCTTAACCCCAACTGCTCCCAACCGGAACCAGTAGGTGGCGCTCCGCTGTCTGTGTGGGTACTAATGCCACAGTATAGTGAGGTGGGTATCATACAATAAAAAAAGGCACGATCATTCTGGTGACACGTGAAACCGAGGCACTGACTTTGGTTTCTGCTGCTGTCGCATCCTCCAGGTGGGGGATACACATTGGTGGTGGTAGTCCCATTACCCATAAAAGTTCAAGTTCAAGTTTATTGTCATTACACTCATATACATGGTATATGGTATAACGAAATGCTATTTAGCTAGCTCTCGGACATAAGTAGTACAAAGAGAAAAAAAACACAACAACAACAATACAATTGTGTAGCAAAAGAAAGACAGAGACAACAGGCAATGTGCAAAACAACAAAAAAAGTAACAGGTTATGTGCAAAAATATGCATCAACAGAATAAAATAAAGGGATAGAAATTATGGGGAGTGAGCTTGTGACATGAAAAAGGCACTTTAAGTGGAGTGCCCACTCACTATGTAGGTTTAAGTCTTATTTATTTAAAAGTATTACTGGGTTAATTTAAATTCTTCAGGGTCTCTGACGAGTAAGAGTAGAATACATGTAAGTATTATTATAAATATTACACTTTTCAATTCCTTCTTCCTCCTGTTATAAAAAATAGCAGTGCTAAATATATAAAAATATAAATTATAAAACTTATGGTTTATGTTTCTCTCCCAACATTTTTGTTTGCAGAAAAGAGATTACCCAAAGCAAACTCTTCTGCGCCTTCACTCCCTCGTGACTTCCTGATTCAGAAGTCCAGCCCTGTCCACAGGCTCTCCCTGCACAAAGAGCTCTCCCAGGGTCCCTCAAAGCCATTCGCCTCTAGGTAAGCAAGAATGTAGAGGTGCTCCTTGTCAGGACACCGTTTAAACATTTTTCTTCTACTACTCCTTTGGATTGGTGTTTCCTTGATACATGAAGATTTTTTCCAAGAATAAAAATAAGATTATCCTTTTGGAGGCAAAGGAATTATAGAATGCTGCATAGAAAATCATTCCCTGTTTTCTGGGGAATAGGTAAGCAGTTAGCATGTGAAATGATCTACACCCAGACAGCAGTTGAGGACATTTTTTGTTTGTGATTAAGACATTGCTGAGTTTTGCAAATACAATAAGAATACAAGAAGTGTACTTCATTGATTATCACAGCGAAGAAAACCAGGCTAACATTTTTATAGAAGAGGTATATCTTTAAATATATTTTTAATCAAATAAAATTAAATTCCAAAAATGTTCTTTGCCTGTCATCTTTAAAACACACAAACAAATGTATTAGATCATTGTGTAATGATAATTTTCATAATGCCACACTGCCACCTGATAATATATGAGAAATTCCATGCTCATATTTCAGTTCCTATGCAGGATGTGATCTTCCTTCTGTACCAGAAGTTTTCTTGCCAGCTACTACCTCTCCAGCTGTCAAACAGCAAAACGTGTCTGTAGAAACCTGCATGAACAGGTATGGTACTTACATTTTAAAGGACATGCTGTGTTTAAAGAAACTTCTTGAAGCATTTTGTTTATATTGTATGATTATATGATTAAATTCACTTTCATTATTTTATATATTTTACTCAAATTCTACACGCAATTAAACACAATGCAGATCTTTGTGTGTGAGTAACATCTAATTGTAACCAATCCTGTAAAATAATTATTCATTTACAGGACATGCTGAGCATTGATTCTGTATGTGTATACCTAATTACATGTTTTAAATGAGTCCCAATTACCTGTTCTGTTATTGTCTTCAGTGATTTTTTTCCCTAAATGTTTAATATCTTAATTTTCTTAGGCCAAGAATAAGTAATAGATCCTGCAGTTTATTCACAATTGGTGCTCTCCAGAAATGTAAGTAAGATTGTTTAGCAGCTTCAGGTAATTTGTTATAATCTATAATATTGCTTTTATAAAAAAAGGCCTTAGTTTGCTTAAAACTCAGTTTTGTAAACATAACTTCAAAGAGGTTGTTCAAAGAGATGACATGACAAGACATTAGGAGCTAAAAGTAAACCATGAGATTTTGGAATCAACCTTGATTTTCAGAAATGAAATCAAATTAATTAATCAAAAGTGACAGTCAGATAATAAGCTATGTGTGCTTCCCTTATTCCACACCCCCTATTGTTTTTGTGTTTTAGTTTCTGTAGCTACACAGTGTAATGGACCTTACCTACAGGAAAGGCAATCTTAGGATCACCCTGATGAGTTTTTATTTACTGCTTGCTATTTTTTTCATTTCCATTAATTTCCCTCTTTTCAAGCTTAAGAGGTCATTGAGTGTATTCCTATGGAAAAGGACATAACTTTCATCATGGGGGATCCATGCGGATAAAAGATGCTTTTGTAGCACAAATAGATACTTTCATACAGTTTTGAGTGCTTCCTTTATTTCAGGGGTCCCCAGTTCTAGATCTAGATGGCCGGTGTGTCACCAGCTTTTCAGTCCAGCTCAACTATTAATGATCTGAACCAGCTTGTTATTGGATCAGTTTAAGGGGTCTTCCAGCTGTTCGGGCACTAGTGCAGTGTTTCTTTGATCTGCCCACAGGTGGGAATGACACTATTTCAGATACCCAGAGCAGGTGGGAATTATACTTTTAGACACGGCCACAAAAAGTGTTTTTTCCTACTGCAAAAGTTAATTTGGTTGCATGTCAGGCAAAACACTTGACTTGGAGTATTCTGAAACTCACAGAATGGAATACGGTTGTTACAGATTACAAATTCTATTTGACCTTTTAAGACCTGAAAGCAAATTGATAAATATGCCACGTGAAGAAAATTGAAATCAATTAGCCTGTGACTAAGAGCTTGGCTGGAGCATAAAACAAGAAGACTCAGTGTTACTAGAGGACCAGGGCTGGGAACCAGTGTACTTGTTGCTTTAAAGAGAATGGGGACCCCTGCTTTATTAATTATTAAGGTTCCTTCACCTTAAAAATAATAGCCTGTTCTGTTTGGTAACGCTGTCTGTGTACTTGTTCCATAGCTCATGTCTATGCTGATCCTGTCCCTGGAGCCCCGACTTCTTTCATTCAGAGGCTATCAGAAATCTCCTATCTGGAATGTGAGACTGTGCGACAGGAGAAAATTAAAAAGCTGAAGAAGGGCAAGAAACAGGAATCCTAAGGAAAGCATAACAGAACAGGAATATAACCAGCAAGAGGCAAGAAAGCAGCTTGACTTATGTCGTGCCAAAACTGAACCTTTCACTTTTTTCTTCTTCTGCAAAATAAACTGGTGCCTTGTAGAAATATAGTTTTATTTTTTTACAAGCACCTTTGACACGTGTTTTCTTCGAATAATGGCTCTGAACTATGGCTGAAGCATTACCTAATTATTATATGCATTTTTTATTTTCAATTTATAATTGTACAGTAAAATGAAAAAGGTGGTTTTAGCTAGGGAACATGAAATACAACTTGAAACAGTGGAGGTCAGGCAAACATTTTCATCTATGCACTCATTCTGTAAGAAACCTTTTTTACTGTGGTTCCATGTTCTGCCCTGACTTGACAGACAGACACGGCTCACTTCAGTTACTTGTTAAAATCTAAACAGAAAAACAATAAAGGATTATTACAAACCAATTACATATCACTGAAATGAGCAGTGATTGCTTTAATTTTTGCTTCTAAGACATTCAGTGACCTTATCTTCTTTGGAAGCAAAAATACCTACAGGAAAATAAACAAAGATCCAGATTATTTTAAAGATGATATCACCGTGTTTTATTCTGAGGCCACGTCTGCACACGTTATACGATTTACCTGTCTGAAACTGAATAAGACAGTAGCCCATGTTAAAAAAACCTTTCCCTTAATAATGTCACTTTTTTCTAAGTGTTCTCCTTTGCATTACAAGACATATGGGCTATCAAGTTATGACACAAATAGGAAATATAACACAACTCAAAACTGAGAATAGGAGACACTTTTTTAAGCAAAGGTTTGTTGGAGTCTGGAACTAATTACCCAGCCATGTTGTTGATGAGATTCCTTGAAACAATTAGCTATTAGCAACCAAATGACTTAGATTGGCCAAATGGGCCTGCTCTCATTTCTAACTTTTCGTTTATACTGTATTTTGTTTTAGCTAATCACTTCTAAAATCACATTAAATCCAACAAATAAAATGATAGGTTTAGCAGTAAACTATAAGTTATAGAGTGGTTGTACCACTCAAATAAGACCTGATAAGACAGAACAGATGTTCCTCTCAAAGTCATACTGTATATTGCTTTCAACTTTCTTCCACCTAGCTAGAGAGATAGCATTTGCACAGTTCTTTGAAAACAATCAAAGACCGGACCTGCTCATGTATTGAAATGACTTTGACCAATTACATTGGTAATCACTGCAGAAGACACGGCTACTACTACTATTAGTTCATTGTGTTATCTGATTTCAACATATCTAACATTCTAAAATCCAGAGCAATATCATTGACTTCACAGCCTTTTCGGAGTTTTCGGTGTTAAGCACACCTACATAGTTGGAAACGGTGGACAACAGTTTTAATATTAAATGTTACATTTTTAGGTAATCAAAATAATTCTAATTGTTATGTGACATTGTTATTTCATTTTTATGTATTTTTTACATATTTATGTAATATTGTCATCTTTTTCTTTTCATCATGAAATTATGCCCGAGTTGTTCCTTTGTAGCTTGCCTAATGATGCAGTTCCTCTTTCTAATCCATAGATATTGAAAAATAATGAAGTCTGTAAAAGAACAGGTTGATTTATAAATGTAGCAGATCATCTGCCAATTTTTTTAATAAACTGCCAGATTTATAAAAATAAAAAAAGATAAACTATTACAAATCTAAAATGGCCAGCTGGTTAGCATTGAGGCTCAGCTCTTCTGTTCTTCAGACTCATATATTCTTTGCTAAGTCCTAACCTTTCATGCTTAATAATAATCACAACGTACTGTAGATAAGAAACTGCAAGAAATCCTTAAAAGTATTATCCTTCTTACACATTCATAAGATATCTTCTAAGTTCTATTAACCTATCATCCAGAACAGCAGCATTATGTATAAAAACTCTTAAATTAGATAATGCTGAACTGAGCACTGAAAAGGAAACATTTTCTCCAATAGAACATGGCTTTGTTCTAGTTTTACATGGTAGTTATATAAACACATTGTGGGTGGTAAAAAACAGAAAGGAATTCATAATGAAACATCATAGATACTGGGAAAAAAGGCAAACAGGCTTGAAGTGCCTTTCCATGTCTAAAGAACTTTTAAGTTACCTCTCAGCATAAAAATGCTGATGTGAGAATGTGATGTGAATCCTGTTTTTTCATCCAAGTGCCCATGAGCTGGCTGAATATCTCAATTTTGTCCTAGAGTCTTTGTGTTGCAGCATAATGTAAATCGTAATTAAATCAGGGCAAATTCTTCTGTACATCCATGTTTCTCAAACTCAGTCTGCAGATTAGGAACAATCTCTGGAGCGATGATGACTGCCTGGTCCCACCTGTAACCCATTCACATTACCAATTAAAATGGATTCTTGATAGCAACTGTTTCTCTTTAGCCCAAGTGGTCATCAAAAGAGGAGCACCTAAGGGAGCTGGCTCCTAGTACCTAGCTCCTAGCTCCAGAAGCCAAATAAGTAAGAAACAGGGTTCAAAATGAGGTCACACCTGGGTCTTATTGCAGTTTGACCTTCTTTCTGTTGTGACAGTTTGGAGTTTGGAGTCCTCACTGGTCATCCTCTAGTAGTAGGTGGGAAACCAGCCTCTGGAACAGGTTGATCCTAATAATATGATGCTTTACTCCTATACAATTCCAGCATGTGTGAGGTTTCAGGCTTTGGAGCCTTAGCTTCCAATGCAAATTCTCAATTATCCCACAGGTTGGCTGGCTGAACTTTTGTTGTAACAACCTGTGGCCAAAGGAAGCTACAGTTTAACCCCCAGTCAGTCTCTCAGTCTCTCAGTATACCAATCAACCAATCGAGAAAATACTGAAAGCAGGTCCTTCAACAACAGACCAAGAGCTGTGCTTGCCATGATCTTTTATATTATGAGAGACAGCCAAATCACTAGCAGCTGGGCTTCATCACGTAAGAAACAAACACATCATCTAGCATTTAAATGTAGCTTCCTCCTGGAAGCAGGGTAGAGGAGGGTAGAGGAGCTCCAAACTTTAGCAGACAGGATTATAGTTGGTAGACACTTCTTGTAATTCTTATTCTTATTCCATAATATACTCTTTCTATAACCCTGGAATTAAACACTTTTCTTTCAGATCTGTTAGTTTTTAACTGCTTTACCATGTAGACTGGTTGAAGACGTTAATATGTGACTATAAAAGCCTTCTCTGTCTTTTCTGAGGCATCCTAAACCTTTTTATACCTACAGTATAATTCATATTATTGTCTGCATTAAATCCTTGACATTGTGAATATTAATGGTCATGTTTCTGTTTGTTTTTGGTTCTGTTCCAAACCCTTTTGAATTTCCTTCACTACCGACAAACTGCCCTCTACACCATTAATTTATTTCCATGTATAATACTGAACAGATTGTTTAGTGTACTAGTGTCCATAAATCAGAAAGAACAGTAGTCTTGATAGTGCTCCCTGAATTACGCAATTGAGTGACGTCAACAAATATTGATTTCTGCTTGGTAAAATGTTTATTGATATGAATTATTATTATATCCTGTCTTTGAACTCTGTGTGTATGGAGTTTTGTTTGGAAGCTGCAGAAAAACATGAACACTTTCAAAGTTGAAAAACAATGGGTTTGTATCCAAAGTACACACGAATCACAGCAGTCATGGAGGTACTGGAGGAATAAATCAAAATATGAAAACAGTGGAAACAGCGGAGCGGAGCAGCATATGAGACGCATAAACACTGTGTGACATCTGTTAACCCAGAGGAACTAGGCCTGAAGAACAATCTGATAACCTACTTGCTCCTATTCAATTTTAAGTTACAGTAAGGAACAAAGTTCCAACTCCGTCAGAGGCACCGAATTTCTGTGGCTTACATCCTTTTTTCCATATCTACCCTACCTTTCGGGTTAAAATGCATCTTTCTAATTAATAGATTTATAAAATTAATGTATAGGACTCTGACCCACCCACCTTCCAGCCACAGGGATGCCAAAATAATTTGCTGTGGTGGGCCAGATGTGATTTACATGTAGTTCAAGCGGGAATAAACGCATGTTATTTATTTTGTAGTGTTTTTCATTTTTACTGTTTCTTTTTTAATGATACTGTTAAATATTTACAGCCTGTCGATTTTGCCGGAAATGCAAATGTTGGGATGGAGAACTGAAAGGGCTGTTAAGGAGAAAACAGACGGGTAAGGTTTAATCTTACTGGTTTTTTTTTAAACTTTTTTTTCCAAAGGTACTGTAGTTAACCGTCAGTATTTACTAAAACAACTTACGAGCAATGGAAGCTCTATAGATGCATTTTACAAATTCTACATTTCAGATGAGGGGTGGTTCTCGTAAAAAAAAAAATGATTCTCCCGCTTGATATGTTTTTAAACATTTTTGATTCTACTCAAGTTTCTCTTCCGTCTTCTCTGCCTTTTCTTTTTCATTTCTCTTCCTTCTTCCTTTCTGATTGGAATCAGCAGGCACCACCGTCGCCCTTCCCCCCAGTTTGATAATGAAAGATTATTCTTTTTGCTTATTTCTGTTCTTCAAATAATCCTTTGGTACCATCGCAACTTAAAGAGAAACTGCAGTCCCAATTTCTCAAACTGGTTGTTAAATCTTGGTAACAAAATAAATTCATTGACGGCACAGAATTTATTTTTGCGTTAAGTACAAAATCGTGAACTTTGTGAAAGTACTGTGAATCGCCATGTTGTCGAACTTTGAGAGAATCCTGACATGTTGTGGCCCTTCCTGCTCGCTAGTCACTGTACTGATTAATGTACTGTGATGTACAGGTGAACTAAGTACAGGTTGTGCAGAAGATATTTCACTGCAGAAAATGTCCAACGTGATTTGCATTCAGAGATAACAATTAAGTTCCATTTACTAGCAAAACCATCTGGAAGTCAAGAGCAATATTCTATTGGATTAAAAGAGATGGATTCACAAGCCCGCTTGTTTACAACGTAACCACAACAAAACCAGAAGTTTTGTTGCCTCGTTCTGAAGCTCAGAACATGTCCCTGTGCATATTTGGAAATTTCAGCCATTTTGTCGTGTAAATTGGAGGTTTTACAAATACTGTGTACAGTTTACTTTTATTGCAGTTCTAAAAGCACTCATCAAAACTGATCCTTTCTGACACAGAAA